ACAAAGACAAGAATCCTATCTGTTTTGTTCGGCACCTTTAACAGTCTGATACAGTCAGGAAGGAGCTCTGATGGCCCAGTAGTTAAAGCAGCCAGCTGCTGCCTGAAAGACTTAAATCTATCTCAGGCACTCTATGGAAGTGTCAGTATGCTTCCATAAAGAGTTACACCGTAAAACCCTACGGGTAGTTCTACTTTGTCTTCCAGGGTTGCAATGCTTCCGAATCAACACTATGGTAATCAGTTTGATTGTTTTGTTTGTTTTTGGCATAGGCCAAGCACTCAGTAATGTTTTTGTTTAATGAATGAATAAGCCGTTTCCATTCTACTGACAGAACAATGCATATATTTCCCTACCAAATATCATTCTAATACCTAAGCATGGCACATATGTGGTTGTTTCAAATGAATAGAAATGTATCCCTTGTTTTGTGCAAATTGGTGAATAAATGTCTCAGAAATATTGATATTATTGTCATTTTAATGTAATAGCCAGATGGATTAGGACTGTACATGATATAAAGAGCTATCTGAGCTTTGATTTACAGCTCCTGTTGTTTTGCTACTCCCTCTGTTTTGGAAAGCTTGTTGTTGTATGCCATTGAGTCAATTTCAACTCATAGAGACCCTGTATAGGGTTTCCAAGGAGTGGCTAGTAAGTTTAAACCATCAACCTTGTGGTTAGCAGTCCACTGCTATCCTACAGCACTACACCTGGACTCCAATGCTTTGGTACAATAAAAAAAGAAACATTAAAACTTGGAAATAAAGTTGTTTTTGTTGTTGTTAAGTGCCATTGAGTTGGTTCTGACCCCAAGCCACCCTGTATAGGTTTCCAAGGAACAGCTGGTGAGCTTGAACTGCTGACCTTGTGGTTCAAACTGACTTTGCAATCCAGTGCATTAACCCACAGTGCCACAACAGGACTCTTCTCTGAAAATAAAGTCAATAACATCTCCACGTTGTACTTTACATATCGGCATTCACTTCCCCATAGTGTGGCACTGCACTCAATATGGTAGCAATACACTTCATAATAAAATAGAAACCCATGGCTTTTTCATGCTATTCAGCATCTCTTATCACTGCTATCAATAATGAGCCAATATATGTGGGAGAGGCCTTTACAAATCATCCTCTGGAGATTACGAGACAGTATCTTGGAAGATATATTAGTAATTAGAAGGTTTCTCATGAGCTTGATATCCAAGCAAGAATAATTAAAATAGGATGAGCCAAAAATTATCTGCACTCTGGTCATATTAAAACATCCATCCACGTCCACCCCTAATGGCAACACTGATCATGCACGTGAAATGATTCTGTCGACTATATGAGTCACAGTGGATTATGTGGGAATTCAGCTATGGCTCTGCATATGAAATAATCCATGACTGATGTGGGTTTTGAAAAGTTTGTGCAAGATGGGTACTGAAACAACTCACAGAAAAGCATAAACAGAAGCGTTTGGACATGCACACACAAAATTTGGACCAATACTCGTAGGAAGGTAAAAATTTCTTTAAAAAATTGTTACTGGTGACAAGTCATGGATCCATTACTAGGAACCTGAGAGTAATCAGCAGAATATGGACTGAAGACATCCTCAATCGCTGACTGAAAAAAAGCTCAAAAGTCAACCATCAGCTGGAAAATTGATGCTTACAGTTTTCTGGGATCATCAAGGGCCAGTATTGGAACACTATCAGGAAAAAGGGTCAACAATCAACAGTGCTCCGTACAGTGAGACGCTCACTGAAGAGCTGAAGTCTAAATTTGGGATTAAACACAGAGGACTGCTATCCAAATGTGCTGTGATCTTGCATGACAGTGCATGTCTTCTGCACACCTCAGTCAACACTGCTGACAGTCTGCAAAAAATTGTTTTGAGGTGTTCAAGCATCTTCCCTATAGTCCTGATCTTGGTCTGTCAGACTTCACCTGTTTGGTACCCTGAAAGCAGCTCTTTGAAGACAAAGATTCACCTCAGATGAAGTGAAGACAGTGGTGCATTTGTGGCTTGCAGCTCAGCCTAAAATATTTTTTTGAAAAATAAGGGAATATGAAAGATTGTTGAACGATGGACAAAGTATATGAAAAGCAAGGAAATCATTTAGGAAAATAATGTCTATTCTAAAAGTTGGTTAAAGCCAATTCTACCACCAAAGTGTGGATAATTTTTGGCTCACTCTCTTATTAATAATTACAGTAAATGTAAATGAAGTTTTATTGTTGTTAGATGCCATGCAGTCAGTTCCAACTCATAGCAACCTTATTTACAGCAGAATGAAACACTGCATGGTTCTGTATCATCCTCACAATTGTTGCTAAGCTTGAGCCCACTGCAGCTACCACTGTGTCAATCCATTTCATGGAGGATCTTCTTCGTTCTCTGACCCTCCACTTTACCAAGCATGATGTCCTCCTGTAGGGACTCATCCATCCTAAGAATATGTCTGAACTATGAGAGACATAGTCTTGCCATCCTGGCCTCGAACGAAGCATTCTGGCTGTACTTCTTCCAACACAGATTGTTTGTTCTAGCAGTTCATGGTCCTTTTAATATTCTCCTTCAACACCATAATTCAATGTATCAATTCTCCTATGGTCTTCCTTATTCATTGTCTAACTTTCACATATATATGAGACTACTGAAAATACCATAGTTTGAGTTAGGCACACCTTAGTTCTTAAACTGTCATCTTTGCTCTAAGCCACTTTGAAGATTTTTTTTTTTTTTTTTCCTTAAGGTCCATGGAGTTGGTTCCAACTTATAACGACCCTGTATAGGATTTCTGAGAAGTGGCTGGTGAGTTTGAACTGCCAACCTTGTGGTTTAAACTGATCTTACGGCTGAGGACTCCTTAAAGAAGTAAGCACCCCAATTAAAATAAAATTGTCAGACTAACTGAAAAAGCAAGACGGAACAATAGGCTATTTACAACAAGTACATTTAAAACACCGAAACACAACCAGGTTGGAAGGGAAATTATGTGAAAGATACTCCATGCATACAAGGATAAGAAAACTGAAGTTACCACATTAATATCAGAGAAAACAGAACTGAAATAAAAGTATTATCAGAGAGATAAAGGAACATTTCATAATGATTATAGAAAAAGCATTAAGAGTGAGTAAAAAGCCAATAACCTGGGTCTCAGTTTTCCTGCTAGAGATTCTGACATAATGGTCAGAAATTGTCCTCAGCATCAGACCAATGTTAAGTACTAGAGTGTGATGGTTATGGTTGTGCTTATGTGCTGTGTGATTCATGACAAACCTGCATAGGGTTTTGAAGGCTGTAAATCTTTATGGGAGCAGAAAGCCTCATCTTTCTGCTGTGGGGTGGCTGGTAGATTCGAACTGCAGAGCATCTCAACTATGCTACCAGAGCACCTTAAGTAGGACAGCTTGTTGTTAGGTACTGTTGAGTCATTTTTGACTCATAATGACCCTGTACAGTATTTCTGAGAAGCATCTGGTGGTTCGTAGTCTAGTGCTTATCCTACAGTGCCACACCAGGAGTCCAAGTACTACATCATGTTGTTGTTAATAGCTGTCAAGCTGGTTCTGACTCATAGTGATCATGTATAGGGTTTCCAAGGAGTGGCTGGTGAGTTTGAACTGCCAATCTTGTGGTTCAAAGTGACCTTGTGGTCCAGTGCTTATCTTCCAGCGCCACACTAGGACTCTACTAAAGCTTGTTGTTGTTGTTAAGTGCTGTTGAGTAGCAACCCTGTATAGGGTTTCCCAGGAGTGACTTGGTGAGCTTGAACCACCGACTTTGCAGTTCAAACGGCTTTGCAGTCTGGCACATTAACTCACAGTGCCACACCGGGACTCCAATCTACTACAGCTTTGTTGTTGTTGTTGTTAAGTGCCGTCGAGTCGGTTCCGACCCATAGCGACCCTGTACAGGGTTTCCGAGGGTGTAAATCTTTACGGGAGTAGAAAGCCTCATCTTTCTCCCGCGGAGCGGCTGGTAGTTTCGAACCGCTGACCTTAAGGTTCGCAGCCCGATTCGTAACCACTACGCTACCAGAGCTCCTGCAGCTTAGGAGGCAATATAAACAAGAGAGAAATAAACTTGCCTTATAAAACTTACTGATGCAGAGGAACTGAGAAATGTGGTCCTGATGTATGAATTTGGCATACAGCTCAAGGGAACAGAAGGTAACATAAAAACATAACCAATGAAAGTATTATTTCAAATAATCCATAACTGGGACTCCTGGTGTGGTGCTGTAGGATCAGCACTTGACTATGAACCACAAGGTCGGCAGTTCAAACCCATGAGCTGCTTCTCAGAAACCCTATACAGGGTCACTGTGAATCTAAAATGACTTGATGGCACTTAACAACAACAACAACAACAACATGATGCTATAGGATAAGCACTGGACCGCTAACTACAAGATCCATGGTTCAAACCCACCAGTTGCTCCTTGGACGACCCATACAGGGCCACTATGAATTGAATCGACTTGACAGCTCAAAACAATAACAACAGTGGGTTTAAAAAAAGAAAAGTAAAATATTGGAATACAACTTTCTGTAACAAAATAATTTCCAAATGAATTAAAAAGTTAATAAAACATAGAAATCAAAAAACACCAGGAAAAAATACAGGTAGATATTTTTATAATTTTATCTAAACAAAACAAATTTACTGAGTAAAACTTCGAAACATATCACAGTAAAACACATTATTAATCAGTAAGAATATAGCTAAAGGTGAGAAAAATATAGTGTACATGAAGACAAAAACTTTTTTGAAAATTAAAACTAAAAGTAACATCACAGAAAAATTGGAAATTTTTTGTCACACATCATACTTTTATAACAATAAAAAAATTCAATATAATAATCAAATTATTATAGCACTAATCTATATATAGTGTTACCTTAAGATCTTTTACCAAAGACAATTCTGACTAATGACTTAATATGCTTGGTTTTGGCTATCAATTCCATTCTGCAGTTTGCGATAAATCTACTTACTAGCCATTATGCGTTCTTGACTACTTGCAATCATATCGTTTAGAGATTTTTCAGGTGCTTTCTTACTACCATGTATGGTTGTTGTGGTGAGTCCTTTCAGTTTCCAGTGGGTCCAAAAGCCTTTTTGAGGTTTTAAACCTATTCATATAAAGTGCACATTTAAAAAAAGAAATTAACACTTTGAAAATGTCTTTTGTCTAAGCATATTTATTACTATTATACATTTCAACCTTTCAAAAGCCCTGTGAATTTTGTCAACTTAAGTTTCAAATAAAGGAAATTCAATACAGAGATATTAATACCTTTATAATGCAAAACAGTGAATTAGAAAAGAACTAAAACTTGATAGCATCTTCTAACTTAGAACCTTGTTGTCACGGTTAGGTGTCATTGAGTCATTTCTTACTCATAGCAACATTATGTAAAATAGAACAAAACACTGCCCCAATTCAATGCCATTCTCATAACTGTCGTCGTGTTTGAACTCAGTGTTCGAGCTACTGTGCACATCCATCTCCTTAAGAGCCTTCCTCTTTTCTACTGATCCTCTACCTTACCAAACATAATGTTTGGTAACATGTTCCTCTGACTAACACATCAAAAGTCCATGAGACAAAGTCTCATTATCTTTGCTTTTAAGGAGCATTCTGGCTGTACTTCCTCCAAGACAGATTTGTTTATTCTTCTGGTAGTCTGTGATACTTTCAATATTCTTTGCCAGAACCATAATTCAAATGCATCAATTCTTCTCTGTCTTCATAGTCATTGTCCAGCTTTTACAGGCATAGTGCATTCAGGTAAAATGAAATTCTTGAAAACTTCAAACTTTTCTCCATTTATCATGATGTTATTTATTGGTACAGTTTTGAGAATTTTTTTTTAAAATTGAGGTACAATTCATATTGAAAGCTGTGGTCTTTGATCCTCAAGTAAGTACTTCAAGTCCTCTATGCTTTCAGCAAGCAAGGTTGTGTCATCTGCATATCACAGGTTGTTAAAGAGCCTTCTTCCTGCAATCCTGATGCTATGTTCTTCTTCATATAGTCTACTTTCTCAGATTATCTGTTTAGTATACAGATTGAATAAGTAAGATGAAAGGCTACAAACCTGGTGCACACCTTTCCTGATTTTAAACTATGCATTATCCCCTTGTTCTGTTGGGTCAACTGCTTATTTTTTTTATTTATGTACAAATTCCTCATGAGTACAATGAAGTGTTCTTGAATTCACATTCTTAACAATGGTATCCAGAGCTTGTTATGATCCACAGAGTCAAATATCTTTGCATAGTCAAGAAAGCACAAGTAGATATCTTTCTGGATTTTCTACTTCCAGTTAAGGTCCATTCAACATCAGCAATGACATCCTTCATTCCATGTCTTCTTCTGAATCCAGCTTGAATTTTGGGCAGCTGCCTTTCAATGTAGTGCTACAAACATTTTTTAACTACCTTCAGCAAAATTTTACCTGTAAGTGATATTAATGATATTGCTGAATGATTTCTGCATTCAGTTGAGTCACCTTTCTTTGGAATGGACACAGATATGGATCTCTCCCAATCGGCTGGCCAGGTAGCTGTCTTCCAAATTTCTTGGCATAGAAAACTGAATGAATCTAATACTGCATCAGTTTGATGTTGAAATATTTCATTTGGTATTCCATCAATTCTTGGAGCCTTGCTTTTTGCCAATGCATTCAGTACAGCTTTGACTTCTTCTTTCAGTACCATATGTTCTTGATCATACACTACCTCTTAAAATGGTTGAATGTCCATCAGTTCCTTTTGGCACAGTGACTCTGGGTATCCCTTCCATCTTCTTTTGATGTTTCCTGAGTCATTCAATATTTTCCCCATAGAATTCTTCAGAATTTCCAACCTAAGACTTGAATTTCTTCTTCAGTTCTTTCAGCCTGATAAATGCTGAGCATGTTTTTCCCTTTTGGTTTGCTAACTCCAGGTCTTTGCACATTTCATTATAATACTTGACTTTGTATTCTCAAGCTGCCCTTTGAAATTTTCTTTTCAGCTCTTCTACTTCATTATGTCTTTCAGTCCCTTTAACTTCTCTGAAATGCAAGTTTCAAAATCTCTTGTGACATCCATTTTGGTCCTTTCTGTCCTGTTCTTAAAATGACTTTTTTGCTTTCTTCATGTATGAATCTTGATGTTATCTCACAACTCTTCTGGTCTTCCGTCATTAATGTCCAATGTGTCAAATCTGTTCTTGAGATGATGTCTAAATTCAGATAGGATATAAACAAAATTGAATATTGACTCTCTTGGACTTGTTTTAATTTTATACAGAGTCAAGCTAAATGCATATGAACAATTGATGGTCTGTTCCACAGTTGGCTGATAATATTGAGCTTCTCCATCATCCTTCCCATATATGTTGTCAATTTGATTCCTACGTATTCCATCTGGCGAGGTCCACATGTATAGTTGCTGTTTATGTTCCTGAAAAAGATGTTTGAAATGAATAAGTAAGTCATTGATCTTGAAAAATTCAGTCATATGATCTCCAGCATCATTTCTATCACCAAAGTCACAGTTTTCAACAACTGATCCTTCATCATTCTAAACATCAATATATTTTTATTTCATGTTTGATAAATTTCAGACTGAAAAAGCTGGTAGAATTCTTCAATTTCTACATCATTGGCTTTAGTGGTTGGTGAGTAAATTTGAGTAGTAATTTTAATTCATTTTTCTTTTCACAGAAAGCACTGCATTTCAAGATAGATCTACACATGTTCTTTTTGACAATGAATGGATGCCATTCCTCTTCAATTTGTTATGCCTAGCATAATAAACCACATCATTATCAGATTCAAAATGGCCAATATCAGTCCATTTCAGTTCACTAATGCTTAGGATATCAATAGTATGCACTCCATTTTATTTTTATGACTTCCTATTTTCCTAGATTCATACTTTTTTCTTAATGTTGCGTCATATTATATTAGACCACAAAATATAAAAAATTGAACAATATTAACTTTGTTCCAAGATAAAATTTGAGGTGTTTTAATCTCCTTGAATTATAAGGCACACTGATTTGAACATGTTGATATTCTACTTAAAAGTTTAGATTTAAAAAAATTTTAACAGAAGAAGCTAGTCATTACTACTAGAAAACTATTTTTGTAAGGATTTATTAAAGATAAAGTCAAACTTCAAGATCTATATACAAAATACCTTTTATTCTGAATTAAACACAGTTCAAACTCCAAGCAAGCACTGTTTATAAAATCAAATGATATTCTATTGTAAATTTATGTTTCTATGATGGCTTTCTGTAAATCCTTCTTTTCTATCTCAGTCTGGAAGCTCTGCTGAAACCTGTCCACCAGGGGTGACCCTTAGTATTGGAAATACTAGTGGTATACTATCAAGTATCAAAGCAGAAGTCAAATCACCACAGTATGACAAACTGACAGAGGAGTGGTGGCTCATAACCTTAGGTAGTTTTATAAATGTGGTCAGAAGATACGGGATCCGGATTCTATTAGAAGATAAGATTCTATTAAAAGGGGAAGTTAAATCATTGTAGAAACTGGATCAGGACCTAAATATTCAATAATAATAAACTCATACAGTGAACTATGGAGCAGGTATTAAAAATTATCTTCTAAATGTGTCTTTTGGAGTCCTGGTGTAGTGTTGTGACATAAAGTACTGAATCATAAGGTCAGTTTGAATCACAAGGTTGATGGTTCAAACTGACCAGTCACTCCTTGGAAACCCTGAACAGGGTCTCTATGAGTCAGACTTGACTAGACAGTACTTAACAACAATTATGTATTTACATAAAAATACACTTATGATATGTGCTTATGAGAAGAACAATTTTAATTTTTGTGTTTGATTGTAGATATGCATGATATTGTCTTAATAATAGCATGGTTGTCTCTGAATGTGGGTGATTATCACTTTTTAAAGTTTTGGTTATCTGTATCTCCTTTTTTTAAAATATTTCTGAGTCAATTATTTTACTTATAGTGGATTATTATGTTTTCTTGTTTGACCAGTGGATTATTTAGGCATATATGAAGGTAAGTCAAAAAGTATTGCTACAAAAAAATCATACACCACTTTATCAAACAGACAGTCAAAATATGAAGCTATTGTTTCTAGACATATCCTCCAACTAGGTCTGTTTACTCTTAAGGCAATGTTCTCTTTCTCTAACCATCCCCCCCAAATCCTGTGCTCTCCCATTTACACTACATCAAATAGCACTTTTGGAATTCTTAAGGGATTCAAATCATATTCCTATTTTCTTTCTGAGTTTCAGGAACATAAAAGAAGTCTGAATGGGCAAGATCAGGGCTCTAGTTTCCCCAGTGAATTTCTCCTAGGACAGCCCTTGCTGCCCTCAAAGAAAGAGCAGGTATATTCTCATGATGGAAGCACATTCCTTGGCACAACTTTCCTTGTCTTTTTCTCACTAATGCAGTTTTCAATTATCTTAAAACTACTTCATAACAAGCCCTCATTAATGTTCTGAGTGCTTTGAGAAAATCTATCAAGATTCCCCCTTTGGAGTTCCTCAAACAGTTGCCCTAATCATCGCAGCTGATCTCTCTGCCTTGAATTTAACCGACTCTGCTAGCAGATCTCCTTGGAAGTTACTATTTTGCATAGAGAGTTTTATTTTTGGAGGCACCTAACAAGATGAAATATTACTGGAGAACTTGGCTGCAGCACTGGTCGTTAAGACATGTTTCAACATGTTTTGTTTAAATAGACCTGTGCATGTATGAAATGGAAACCCAGTGGCAATATTTTTTACTTACGCTCATATTTCTTATTTTCTAAATACATGAAGACTTTCTGTTCTATTTGCTTGTTTTTTTTTTTTTTTATTATCATACTTTGCACCTCACTGTGTTGTGGTAAGACAAGTCCTACATGATTTGAATATTTTGAAATATGTGGGGATTTGTGGCTGAATAGATGGAGAATTTTTGTTTTTTTAATCATGCTATTTGAATTACTAATTCCATATTCTTTTTGTATTTTGTTTTCCTTGCTCTATCAATTATTTAGACAGTTTTTCAATATCTTCCTGTGCTATTATAGTTATAACAATAATTTGGGAATGCAGTATTAGATGCATATAAATTCTCTTTGATGAAGTAAAATATTTTGTTCAGTTTTTAACTGGGATGGTTATATTATTTTGACTGAATTTGAGTTCTTCATATATTCTGGAAACACATTCTTTAGAATATTTGTGATATATAAATATTTTTCTCCTGACCTCTGGCTAATGTATTATTCTTGTAATAGTATCCTTTATTTTGATGAAGTTTGTGGTATGTTGAACTTACTTGATATGGCTTTTTTTATCCAATGTCTTCTTATTTCCCACCAAGTGATTGGGTGTGACCAATCATTCTAAGGCTGGGTTCGGTTAATTTTGCCATCCAGCTAAGTTTAAAAGGAGCAATTTCAGAAGGAAGGACAATCTTAGGACCATCGAGAAGGAAAAGCATGAATGGAGTGTGTGATACCTACTAGGAAAGTGGCAACAGCAGAGGTGATGGCAGAGGTGGGGGCATGGAGAGACAGAGCAACTGTGGGCTTTAAGCCATGGACTGAGTAAAGCTGAGTGCCTACGGGTAGGAGGCTGGTTTGCAGCATGTGCCCTTTGGGCATTCACAGACTAGCTAAAAGAGCTTTGTAATGCTTGCCCAAGCAGGGCAGAAGCCAAGGGACCACATGGCTGAGAAGACAAGACTGAGACATGATTGCAGTATGGTAGACAAGAGGCATTCCTGATTGGAGAACTGCATCCTTTCTGATCCTGAATTGTCCCTGTTCATTTCCCTAATGAACCCCATGATCATGAACATTGTTATGAGTTCTGTATGGCCAGTGCAATGGATCGTCGAACTCAAATGTGAAGCAGACAGTGCTGTGGGAGGGATAATTGGGATCAGAAGAGGGTAAAGAAGGTTGCAGGGTGGAGGCATGCTTGACCTTCGCTTCATAAGAATTGGCCTTCAGCTGATTTTGAGTTGGATTTTCTTTCCCACTTGTGAAGTCAGGGAAAGTCAGGCATGGCCCCCACATGTTTTTTGCAAGTCCAATTTATTAAGGCTTTTCTTTTATGCATCATGCTTTTAATACTTTTATCTAAGAAATACTGCCTAACCCAAGGCCACAAAAATGTCTTGCTATGTTTTCTCATAGAAGGTTTATAGTTTTAGGTTTTCTGTATGAACTATAATCCATTTCAGTTAATTTTTGCTTAGAATATGACTATGGATCAAGGTTCACAAGACTGTTTTTTAACATATGAATAGGTAGTTGTTACAGGAATTTTTTGGAAAGATAATCCTTTCTTTATTTTGGAAAATCTCAGTAATTCTGTCCTCAAATATTTCTTCTGCTATCTATGTTTTCTCTCTCTTCTCCTTTTGCATCCAATTATTAATATGTATGTATGTGAGACTATTTGATGTTGTCCCACAGCTTCCAAATGTCCTGTGTCAATGGATTTCATATAGATAATCTCTCAATTGGACTGCAAACCTCAGGGTTAGCAGTTCAAAACTACCAGCTGTTCTGCGGGACAAAGATGAGGCTTTCTGCTCCGGTAAAAATTTAAAGCTTCAGAAACCATGTACAGGGTTGCTCTGAGTCAGACCCGACTCCGCAGCACATCACAACAACAACAATCTTCAAGTTAATAGGTTCTTTCTTTGGCTGTGTGAAGTCTATTTGACAAGCCCACCAATACATCTCTGCTACTGTGTTTTTCACAGCAGTCTTTCTAGAAAATGAAGTTGTTTCTAAAATCATGTGGAATTACAAGAGACACAAATGTGCCCAAGAAACATCAAGGCAAGTGGGCGGGTCCCCTCAGTGCAAATCCCCTTCCAAGACTAAGACTCAACGGGAATACACGCTGTGATTGGTGACCACACTCGACACCTATAAGGGGAAGTGAGGGAAAAACAGCAATGAAGCGGTGAGCTAAGCCCTACAATGTTCAATAGACTTCTGTGAACCTGGGTGAAGACTGGTTGGCCAGCAGTGTGGCAAGACCTGGGGACTCTTGGGCCCAGAGTCAGTGACATAGCCACAGAGGACTACAGTGGAGAGTGACCAGCCTGGAGTGGCTAGAAGGACAGAAGATACTTCTTGAAAGAAAGACCTACAGAAAAAAATATAGAACAACATAGGCAGACCGACTGTTACTACAGGAACAAGCAACTTGCTTGCCCAGGAAACATCAAGGCAAGTGGTCGGGTCCCCTCAGTGCAAACCCCCTTCCAAGACTAAGACTCAGTAGGAATACACGCTCTGATTGGTGACCACGCTTGACACCGATAAGGGGAAGTGAGGGAAAAAACAGCAATGATGTGGTAAGCTAAGCCCTACAATGTTCAATAGACTTCTGTGAACCTGGGTGAAGACTGGTTGACCAGCAGTGTGGCAAGACCTGGGGACTCTTGGGCCCAGAGTCAGTGACATAGCCACAGAGGACTAGAGTGGAGAGTGAAGCGTCCAGCTGATAAGAAGAGAGGGCATATGCATAAGAACACCCACACTTGCATATAAAACCCACTTATCCTGGCTTCAATGAGTGGATGATCAGAGCTCAACCAGAAGTAAAAAGAAGAGGAAAAAAAAAAAGTATTCTCATACAATTTGATGATGAACTTGACCTACACCTATGGAAGCAGTAGCTCAAAAGAGGGAACAAGTCCTTACAGTAATAATCATTCCCACCCCCTCCACAAACAGAGTAGACAGGGATGGGCAACTTGGACATTGGCTACCCAAAATAGGGGGTGGGGGGCTACAAAGGCAAGAAGTGACTGGCTTACAAGCTTTCAAGAGGGAACCTAGATCCAGAGGGCCTGGAGGAAGGTAGAATCTCCAGTGAGTAGTATTCAATCTGACTAGGTGGGGCTGATGCAATGGAATGCAGACGGGTCTCTTATGATACAATAGTGAATAATTGTTATCAGGACTGTTTGTGAGGGTCAGAAATGTAAAGGTGGACGTTTTATAGCAAGGAGGAGCGGAGGTCCCTAGGACCATCAAGGGAGAAGAGCAGAGAGCGGGACCCTACCCAGAGAAGCAGTGATGCCTGAAATGGAGCCAGAGATGATGACGTAGAGTGATGGAGCTGTTGGGGACTTTAGATCCAGAGAGGGAGAGCGACTGTGTGCTGAAGACCTGGGGGGTACAGGGGAAGGATTGCATGGAGGGGATTGTAACCATGGCAATGAGACAATATACGATAGAATGAATGTGAGACTGATGTTCTCCCATGTAAACTATCACATAATTCACAATAAAACATTAAAAAAAAAAAAAAGAGACAAAATGGCTGAAAAATCTTGTAAAAAAACAAAGTTGGAGGACTCAAATTCTCAATTTCAAAATATAACATAAAGCTACAGTAATCAAAACCATCTGGTACTGGTATAATGTTAGATACATAGACTATAGAATAGAATCAAGAGTTCAGAAATAAACTCATATACTTCTACAGTCAATTGAGCTTTTTTTTACAAGGGTACTAAGTTCATCCAATGGAAAACACTCAATAGTTTCTGGTAGTCTATACTAATATATCTGGAAGAAAGAAAGAAAAAAAAAGACTGTTGGGAAGGTGATTCCTGGAATATGAAACTACATCGTTATACTTTACAGTCAAACTCAAGTATCTAAATTTCTAAGGAGCCCTGATGATACAATGGTTAAGTGCTTGGCTGCTAATCAACAGACTGGCCATTTGAACCCACCTAAGGAGCTCTGGTAGCGTAGTGGTTATGAATCGGGCTGCGAACCTTAAGGTCAGCGGTTCGAAACGACGAGCTGCTCCGTGAAAGAAAGATGAGGCTTTCTATTCCTGTAAAGATTTACACCCTTGGAAACCCTATACAGGGTTGCTATGGGTAGGAACCGACTCGATGGCACATAACAACAACAACAACAGGGACTCCAAGGGAGAAAGACCTGGTTATCTGCTTTTGTAAAGAAACCACCTCAGGGCAGCATTGCTCCATCTATCCTATAGAGCACTCCTTGGAAATCCTACACTGGGTCACTGAGTTGGAACCAACTTGAAGGCACATAACAACAACAACAATCCTATGCAGTTGTTATCAATTGTAATTGATTCAACAAAACACAAGAAGAATAACTTCTAAATCTGAAGCTAATTGCTATAGTAGAGAGGTTATTACTGTCCTTCAACCCTTCAGGCCTACTACTCTTATCTCCATACACACAATGACTGGAAAAAATAATTTTTGTTTGATTAATCATTGTATTATACAAGGAACTCAATTAGCTTTAGAAATTACTTCATCCAATATTCTTTGCTATAAAAATAAGTAGCATTTCAAAAGCAGCTTAAAGTATGTATCTTTCAAATGTAGACTATATATGGTATGACTTTTTTCTTCTGGTGATTCAGTTTTCCACAATAGTTGCAGTGTCTATAAAATTATTTGGCTTCTAGAGCTATAGAAGAGTTATGGAATTATATAGTTATTTTGGTTAACCAAAATTTTCGGAAGCAAAGAAATAACCATCATTATTTTTAAACATAGACATTGACATAGTATATTTTGTAAAGTAATAAACTAACATTTTCTTTTTTCCTTTAGAAAACCAAATAGTAAAATTCAAACTTATATAATATACTCATACCTGACAACCAAAGAAAAATGTTATTCCCTAAATCTTCTTTAAATTCATCATTAAATAGGTTACTGGATTCTGGAAATGCTTCCTGAAATGTTGCATAGATAGCTTGCGCCAAACAATCAGGATATATCTACCAAAAATAGAGTCATCTTAGAATTGTTTTATATTTTAGATACCATTTCTCAGCTACCAATGAATTATTATTTAGTTCACAAAATATACATGCCCATTTTATAACCTGATTCTGGTCATTTTAATACTTCTCTGTATCTTTTCTTGAGGGATTAGAAAAGAAGAGGTTGAAAGTTATGTCAGTCAACTTGAATATCTGTTATAATTTTGGGGAAAATTTTAATTTGGGTAAAGGATGACATTAACAATTACGGTTTTGTTATTATCCACTTATTTCATTTAGCTTTGTGTTTCTTATTTTCTAGTAGAAAGTAATGTATATGGGTCATCAAAATTAAAAGCATTTTTGTATAACTAAATCTTATTTGGAGTCCTGTTGTGTCGCTGTGGGTTAATGCGCCAGACTGCAAAGTCCTTTGAACTGCAAGGTCAGTGGTTCAAGCTCACTAGCTGCTCCTTGGAAACCCTATATGGGTCGGAATCGACTCGACGGCACTTCACAACAACAACAATATATGTATATATAGGGAGCTCTGGTAGTGTAGTGGTTAGGAATCGGGCTACGAACAGCAAGGTCAGCAGTTGGAAACTACCAGCTGTTCCACAGGAGAATGATGAGGATTTCTTCTCCCTGTAAGATTTACTCAGAAACCCTGTACAGGGTCGCTATGAGTCAGACCCGATTCCACGGCACATAACCACCAATCACCATGTGTGTGTGTGTGTGTGT